TTGCTTACAAGATTTTTTTATTAAATAACTGTCGAACTAATATATAAACATAATTCAATAATAACTTTTACATAACTTTAATGGTTTATCAACCATTATAGTCATTACCCATTATTACCCATGTTGGCCACATTTGGTAATAAATCCATAACTCGAATGATGATAGTTGATAGATTCCGATATGATGTTCATTTATTGTATAGTTCAGTCAAAACAAAAGAACCTATTTCCCAACCTATTATTATGTGTAAAAAATTATACATTAATTCAGGGGGGAAATGTCTCAGTCCAGCCAACCAAGGGTGAAACATCCAGTACCTCTAAAATCTACATACCGAATCATTTAGAATTTAGATCAACGTATCTATGTACAATTACCTATGTACATTATACATAATATTAGTTTTTACTTTGTTGGCATTATGCAGGAGCTCGGCAAGACCGTCCTTAGGTTTTGCGGACCCTGTGACTAAAAATTAAAATAATTTCTATTTTAATTTACATGACCATTGTGTTAATTCCCATTTTTTACGGCTCATATTAATTGATTCGAAATTCACGAACTTAAGAAAAATTTTCCGTCTTCGAATTTTTCAGGAATAAGATGGAAAAAAATATGTAATCGTTGAATTACATCAAGCAAGTCATAGAAGCTTGTATGGACGATAGATATTTATATTTACTTATTATGGATATACCATATACCTATTTCTATAATTGCATAGATACTTCATTTCAGACATTCCTAGGAAATTCCTTAGGTATTTCATTATGAAACATACAATTTTAAATTCTATGAAATAATATAATTTTTTAAGCCACTTAACCTATTATTTTTTTTTTTAACATGAAGCGCTCTTTAAGATCGCCCTGGTATTTAGCTTGTCTATAAAGTCTTACCGACCCCCTTAAAAATAGTTATCACATCGTTTTACATTTTTATAAGAAATCAATGTGAGTAATGACACGGTTTCATGTCGGTACCAAAATAATAACGTACAATAATTAAATAAAATTAATAAATTATCATTCCCTTGTAGTCGTGTGTGACTATAAATAAAAGTGATTCCAATGTTACTCCTGAGATTTGAGGGTATAATATTATGTTCTTACAGTATACGTAATAAACTAATAACTAATAAGTCTAGAGTGATATAAGTTAAAACTTATAAATTAATTATTCCTTTATAGTTTCTCCTAATTGATTTCTGCGAAAATAAAGATTACACAATTATTGAGAAAATATAATAAATAAACCAATGATAATATGTGATATGGTGGACACATTATTTTAATTGAGCATTTGAACAATACAACTGATACCTACTTATGATGGCTAATCATCTATAATAGCGAGTGGCGACATAAAATATGTCATAAGTCATCACTACGTATAATATACTAGCTGTATCTGAGTCTGTGACATCACAGATTAAATTAATAATTATTAGCCTTCTGCTTTCATGGTCACGAGTTCTGGTTAGTGATACAACTACAACTAAGGTATAAGTATAACTGAAAAATGTATATCCCGGCTCGAGCTTATATACCGTGTAATTCTATAGTTTTAATTAATATTTTGTGTATAAAGGGTATATTTGCTTACGTTTCGCCTTAGAAAGCATAGTTTTCATAATAAAAACTAAATTAGTTTTTAATTAGGGATGTTGTTTTCCATCACAAAAATCACATATAATAATATTGAGTATAGACAGTTTGAACTATATGTCTATATTATTAATATTATGTACTTAAGTATTTATATGCTATATGTGTATTATTGTATATAAATATGTATAGACGACAATAGACGCATCCTTGCCAATAGACTTGTGATTTTATTTGTTCTATAAATAAACCTATATGTTATTTACTTATTATAGTTCAATTAGAGACAATAGTAGGTATCTACCAATGTACCAACTATCAAAAATTATAGCATTACATTATTACATATTAGGTAGGTACCTAATATTGATTATAATTGATAAATACTAACACAAATTACATAATAGTAGATACCTAGATAGTAGATACCTACTAATTTTTAAATACTTTTTTTTTCTTACTTTATACATAAAATATTTTTAATTCAACCATTTCATCTAAATTAAAAATAATCGTGTAGACTTTTCGCTGTGTATAATATAGATGTCGAGCGTGTAGTTTGTATATAAGTGTACACTGTACATGGATCTGAATTCTGAACTAGGTTAATTTTTTTTTAGTTATTTTAGAAGTGAATATTTGTTACAATAAGAGCGAGCGAAGGTAGACTGCTATAGCCTAAAAGTACCTACCTACTGTAGAGTATAGACCAGCGTGCAGCACTGCAGCGGTTCCCAAACTGTGAGGCTCGAGCTTTTGGCAGGGGAGGCACGAGCCTCGTGGTAAACATTGACACTTTTTGATCAACGATAATTCTGTTGAAGTCTATTAAGTTGTGCCAATTGGGCACTATTCATCTGGACGTTATTGGAATGCCGTACGGCCCGTACCTATTTCACTACATTTAGTGTATATTATAGCAGTGCAATAGTGCGATTGTGGAGGAATCAGCGCCCTGCAAATCTGAACCTACTATCTAATTCTGGATTGTGTGTTTCCGGTTTTTCGGTTTTGTAATGATTTACATTACCTCTAATAACTAACAGATTTACTGTAATTAGCCAGTTTATTAATGAATTATTAAGTCTAAATGTAAATATCCTTAAAATTTGGACTATCTGATTAGCAAGGTTAGGATTCATGGCTGAGGATTTATTTAGGGTTGTTAGTATTTTATTATCAAATTTCCTCGGTAATGACTAGCTTTCCTAATTTTCTACTACAAAATATGAATTCTAGCTGTTGTCTACTGTGAGTACCCACAAATCCCTGCCCCCTGCACAATATATGAGCTAATAGTAAAAAGGTTGAATGTTTTAGCGTATTTATAAAAGTATAAGTTACTTAACATTTAACAAGTATATTATTATGTTCTATTGATGTATAGAATGTATTTATAACTTGTAAGAATCCGTATTATAAATTATTGTAGTTATTTCTGATTTGTATACTGCCGTTTACTACTACCAATTTATTGTCATTGCCACTATACCTATTACGTTATATAATAATGCAGGATACCAAGGATATAGGTAGAGGTACCTATAACAATGGGTTAAGTGACAAGTTGTAGTGTTCTATTATAGCTTTGTCAGTAATGAATTTATGTGAGGTTTAAGGTTATGTACTTCTAAGCATCTTTTAATCTTCTATATGTATAGTTTGTATGGTAGGTTGCCTGGTTGCATTATATATTTCATCAATATATAGCTGTCGACTATGGTATATTACAGAGCTCGTAACACCTATATAAAGCACAAACAAATGTTATTATTAAATATATATCAATAAACATTTCAGATCTTAAATCTCGATCTCTTCAGAATTTATAAACAGTTTAATGTTTAAGAATGATTTATGATGGCTTTATTATTATTTATTAATAGTTAATACCTATATTACCAATAAGCAATAGCCATATAGCGACATATAGGTAGTACGCTTACCTACCACGCGTGTTAGTAAGTATACCTACTACCTAGCTATATTGTTTTATTATACTTATTAGCTATTGTAATTGGTAAATACATTATATACATATTAACACACTTATAAGCATTCGGTGCAAACTGTGCATTTATAGCCTTCGTGTGTTTTTATCTTAATTTAGTAAAAATATATAGTAATTAGTCCTATTAGGCGTAACTGAAGAGGGCTTCACCCCATCAGATTTTTTTGAAGCCATGTACTGTCCCCATACCTTATTTAGCTATTAAAAAATGTCAATTCCATAGGCGGAAATATATAAAAAAAGTTTTTTTTTTTTTGGAGGGGGGTACTATCTTTCAAATGAACTTAAATCATGGGGGGGGGCTTTGTCCCTTCACAATAACTGTTGGACTTCTCGAGAGATTTTGATGGCCTTTCGGGGGGACTTAGCCCCCCAGCCACCCTCGATTTCCGTCGGCCAAGTCTCTACTCGAAACTACAAACTACAAACTACCCGGAAACTATTTTCATTATTATGTAAATAATACGAACATATATTATGAAAAAGTATGGTAAAACATTTAAAAAAATTTACTTTTATAGTTTTATACATCAAATACGTATTTATTTTAATCGTACGAAGTAAATACCATGCATGTATTTTAGATATGGCCCGTCGGACGGTGTGCAGCAGATCTTATGACGTCACTTAAAACGCGACTTATATTTAAACACGGAAGAAATTGTCCGACAACAATTTTTAAATTACTAAAACTATACAATTTCAATCGAGATTTCGATGCTCTATATTTCACACAATAGAAAAATTAGTTTTTGTTTTATGAAAAAAGATAAATAACGTAGTTTCGTAGGTACCCACTTTTATATACCAAATAGTTAATAGTAAATATTTTATAATCGTACTTGCCTACTACAAAATATGTAGTTCATATTTTCATAGCATTTTTCATTTTACTTAGTTAAGTATTTATCTTACCTAAGTTCAGTATCTCAGTCCTGCGGGTTGCACGATGTTAGCATGGTGCGTAATAATAATAAATTATAGTTATATCTTATATCTTATAATATAGCTCTATACAGTCTACTTCAGTATCTATAAATTATAATAATAATGAAGTTTAAAACAGTAAATAGGGGTAGAGACGTAGAGTAGGCGATTGCACAAATATCTTTAGTATAGGTATTAGATATCGATATCTGTTGGTATGTGCAAAGAAATGTACAATTATGTAGGCAACAGGCGTTCAACTATACAAAAATAAACATAGACTGCAAAAAATTAAACAAAATAAAAATTTAAAAAAAAAACTTTTTCTTTAAAAATATTAATACAAGTGTACAAAGCAGCGCTATCTATGAGAAAAATTCCTATGCGTCCAGCCGGTTATAATATTTGTTATTTTTCTTACGTCCTCTCATCATAGATAATAAGATTATTTATTATCTATATGCCTTTTGGTCAAAAAACAATTCAAACATAGATTGATGTCGAAAAAGTGGCTACCAAGTTTTTAATGATGGAAACATTGGAAACACTTATCACTTATCAGCAGAATGATAAATAGACTATAGAGAACAGACAAGAGGCAGAAAATAGAAATAAGTAAATAAATAACCGATGAAATCACGGAAGTTTCATAATTTTATATTATAAATATTACATATTAAATTAAAAATTATTACCGATAGGCAACGATTTATGATAATCTCCTTTAGAATACCAATGTATTGAACTATGAAAGTATAAAATTGAATTGTTTAATTTTGTAGCTGATTGGTTTTATTCATTAAGCTAATGTAATTCCAATAAACAAAAAAATTGTTTTTTCAGGAACATTAATTTTAGTTCATGCTCATTGAGTGTGTCATATACTCATATATAAGGATAAGACAATGAACTTTCCACATATTTTGTTATTTTTAACTGTTTGCGGACTGGCATTGGGTAAGACATCATAATTTGATGTTATCATTATAATAGTTCAAAAATGTTAAAAATATATTACAGCTGAATTTGAGGAAAATGTACATATTGACGACAGTAAATTTGGACCATTGGAACAACCAGATTCTCCAAAAAATTTTACAGTTGCACCGCAAGTAACGGACTTTACAGATATACTAGCAATAAGTAATGCCATTAAAAGCTTTCAGGTATGATTTTTACTTTCAAAATTTAGAATACAAACAATTATTTGATTATACAAATAAATTATTTAGAAAAAAATGGAAGAAGAACATAATTACTTGCCAACTATGCAAGCATATTTAACTACAAGCACTGCTAGTAATAGTGGGAAAGAATTTAAATTAAGTACATTTTTATCGTCAGTTTTGTACGCTGAAATCGTCACCGACAATACAAATACCAGTCAACCATCAATTAATGAACCATTAGCTAATGTTACAGCTGCTAACAGTTCAAGAATTGTTAATTGTACCACCCTTGTACATTTAAATCAAACAGAAATTTCAGTTGAGGTAATATTTTATAATTTTAATACTAATAAAATATGCTCAAATATCATAAAATATTGTCACCAGTACAGCTATAAGTACTTATGTCTTTTTATAAGGCATGTAGCCAAAACAAATTTTCTGTTTTNCAAATAAATTATTATTTACCACTTTAAATTTTTTCTTTGAAGAAAATAATATTTAAACATAAATACTTATATAAATTCAATTTTTTAGTTAAATCCAGGATATTCAAAATGAGAATACAAATATTCAATTGAAATCCGAGTTTGTTGAAAAAATTATTAAATTTTTTTTGAAAAGAAAAGAAAACCTGCATGCCTTCATTCTTTTATAATTTGAGTTTTTTTGTTTTGTGCAAATTGTATTTTTTCAAGGAGCATATTGTGTTCATGTCTATTATTGTAATTTTTCATACTTAGTCTAGTTTCCCCTATCTTTAATTATTAAAATTGCAACTGAAAGAGTATTATTAATTTAATGTTATAAATGCAATTGCCCTAATGGTTACAAATTAATTACTTAGTCAACACCAATAGTTTAAATGTAAGAAATTTGTGAAAATATTTTTTTGCATATTCATTAACATATTTATATATGACAGAATTAATTATTTAGTTTTTCTTTAGGTTGTTAATTCATCACGACTAGGATATGTCTTAAAATATGATCCTGAAGTAACTAATCGCCGTGAATCTGGTGTTTGTTCATTAGTGTTATTTTATGCTAGATCATGTCAATTCAGCACTTTAGCTGCACCTCACTTCAATGTACTTCCAAGAATATTTCCTCAAATTAAAATGGTAGCTTTTAATGCTATATCTGAACAAAGGTATGTGGTAAAAATATATGTATTTTTATATAAAATCTATAATAGCTATTTAAATTTAAATTTAAAACTTCAATTTTTTACTTTTATTTTAGATTTAATACAATGTATGGTATAACTGGAGTCCCATCATTAGTTCTGTTTCATAATGGAAAACCTATTGCCAAATATAATGGTTCTGATTATTCACTTTATGAATTTACTAAGTTTGTTATTAGACATACGGGTAAGCATTCATATTTTTGTTTATAATTATTAATAATTTGGTTTTTATTATTATAATAATTAGTATAATATTTTACAAAAATATATTTTTATAATATATGCCTAATATTCAAAAATTAGGGAAGAGGGTCTAATAAATAGAGTCAATTGTTTTCAAAGATATGGGAATATAATATATAAAGTTTCCAGTATCCTTAAGAAAACTTGATTCGATAATTTAAATTTATTTAAATCCTCTATTATTCAATTTAATAGTCTTTGACCTTTGTAAGGGTCATACATTATTACCGTATCACATTTACAAAATTCCTCACTCTGTACACTACATTTATATGAAAAAATGTGTGATCTCCTTCACATCTTATATCTTGTTTATCCTGCTTCGTTGGCTAAACACCTTATCTTGATAAATTTCCTAAAAACCCTTTATATTCCTTTCAACTTCCTTTCTATTCTGAATATGAATTCTAAATCAGCTATATAATTGTAATCTCAACTCTTTTATTTTGGAAGTTGGCTTTATTATATAATATATTTGTTGTATTCTATATTATACATTATAATCGCTTAAGTATCTTAGTTATAGTTATAGTTAGTTAACACTAACTAATGTTTATCTTAGTTGCATTTAGTACTTAAACATAAATGTTGAAGCATAACTAGGCTATTTATTTTTGTATTCTATGACTTATTGGGCTAAAACAGTGGCTATTAACCTTTTTTGGTGCACGGCACACTATTATATATCACAAGTTTTCACCGCACGCTCACGTACTCGACAACCACAACAACTTCGGCAATGTTGCCGAACGCAATAGTTATTGCCACACACCTATATATGTATGATATTTCTTGCAGCACACCTAGTCGATTTCGCTTCACAGTATTGTGCCGTGGCACACCGGTGGAGAACCACTGGTCTAAAATCATAAAAAATATAGAGCGCTTCAACAGTTTCAATATACAGTGAATGAAACCTGAGTTAACTGAATTGTTAACCTGTCTTTACTATGTTTCCCGCCCTGGCACTTTTCCTCTCTAAAGGTGAAAGTTTTATCTGGTAAACATTTCAAAAATAGAGCAGTTTTGTCTGTGCTGAACACGTTTTGTGGCTCTTAATTTTACAACAAAGTTTGAGGTTTATGATGCCCCTCTGAACACAGGTTATAGTCAACACTACAACTTTCACCACAAATTGTTTTGAAAACAGTACCTTTTCTTTTCTTGTAATTCGTTAACCATCTATCTCTAGCTGAGAAAAACAGGATGCCCTACTCTTTGGCAAACAATTTTACTTTTGCTTTTAGTAAGAGGCCACTCAAGGCACATTTTTCCCTCTGCATACCCCAAACCCATTGTACCAGAAGCACTTATCACAAGATCTCAACTTAAAAACTAACCAAACAAAACTAAAATAAAATTATACTCGGCTATCTAGTTAAAATACGATAAGAGACAATTAAGAAATAACATAAATAAATTTCTACATGATTGTAGTAAATTATTAATTGTTAATTTGACACTATTGTCACTTGTTAATGGCCAGTTTTCCCAAAATTTTGTTTCAAACTACCCAGTATACTTAAATGAATGATTTTTATTAGAATTACCTGGAGATTTTCAAGAGAACAAGCATTAACTTCAAAATACCAAATGTTTTTAATTATCCAGAGTCGACTGTACTATTTTTAAAATGATTATCAATTATTATTATTATTATTATTATTATTATTATTCAAACCAAAAATATTTTATCTACAATTTGGTTCAAATTGGTTTCTGGAATGTCAAGTGTTAGCCTTATTGCTGTTGCAAGTTATAGAGCACTAATTTTTATAATCTGAAAACTTAATAAAAACATTTTTACTATATTCCTTAAGTAAGAAAAAATCTATGTTTAATTCAGATCAGCAAACTATTAATTATGACAAGATTTTTTGATTGGAAAATAAATATTCAAACTTGGAATGCAACATTTCCTTGATTGATAGACATTATGGAGTATGGCTTATAATTTTATTTTATTTATTTAACAATAATGTTATAGTCAACTATAAAACAGTTTTTCTTAAATTAAATGTATCTTACATACAGAGTGTCCCGTGAGGATTTACTCATTGTGATATCTCCTGAAATAATGTAGATATCATAATTCTAGTTTTTTATTAAGACTCACAGAGATAAGCACTACAAATAATTCATGTTTTAATTTTTGTTTGTTTTAGTAAAAAAGTTAAAAAATATATTTTTTTTATTAATTATTTAAAAAAAAAATTGAAGATAGCCATTTTGTAGAGTTCATTTTTCTGAAAATATTGGCGTTTCAACATTTTAATTTTATTAATCTCCTGATTTTTAATCAATTTTTTAGCTAATAGGTAAAACAGCAAAAACCGGTTTTTGTACAGATGGCGAGTCCCCCTCTACTGATGGATATATTCTCACGGGACACCCTGTATAGTGATCGAATAGTGCTGGTAGTCACTGCTATGTGAGAGTAGACAAATTTAATAAATGGTTCTTGTAGTTTATTAATTGTGTATATTTTTTAAGTTTCTCTAATATACTTTATTTTAAAAAAGCTAGTACAGTAGAACTCCGATTATCCGGACTAATTAATGTCAAAGATGGTCCGGATAAGCAAATATCTGGATGATTGACATATAATATATCAAAAGTTATATAATTGTACGAATATATTGTACGCATGTATTTATCATTAATATATAATATGTAATATAATTTAAAATTCGTAACCATAAACAAATGATTTTATTATATATTTAACTGAAAAAAATAATCCTTAATTATTGGAGTTCGATTTTTCTTGCGTCTTAGACCATTTAAATTCCAAATTCAATGCACCAAAAGCTTCAGAATTTGTAATGTACCTACGTCGGAATGACGGATGTTATTAAGAATAATATATAATGTATATTCTTTATCTAATCTAAAATCGACTACGAGACAGGTGTAAGAAGAACGGCACTCGCCGTTTTTTTTTCTCATCCGGTTAATTGGACGTCCGGATGGTTGACGTTCGGATAATCGGAGTTTTACTGTAGTTCATGTGCACTATGCAGTGACCTCATTGTTAAACTATACCACAATTCAACTGTTTTTTAATTAGTACAAAATAAAAATATGAGTAATTTATCGAAAGTATATAATATAATATGTTATTATTATAACTTTTATAACTTTCAACTTTTAAGTCAACTTAGTTATTATTTTCACAAAAATGTGGAGCTTAACTTAGTTAGGTACTCAAGTCAATTTATATTTTTAAATAATTTTTACATTATTTATTTAACTTTTGTTAGGGTAACTTAACTTAAGCTTTTAAAAAAAATAAAGATGGAAGTCCCATGACTACATGTATGAGTCGAGTATTGTTTTATTGTTGCAAAATATATTATATGTTTATATTATACAATAATATTAATATTTACGCCAACCATATTTAAACAATCAAATTTATAATTTTTATGAAATTATCAAGTTATTATTTTAATTAAAATTTGTATTATGATGTATATATTATTTACATATTATTGTTTGTATGATTGATAGTTTTATTTTGCTATATTTTAAATATTTTTCTATCGTTAAATTATTAAAAACTATGTTTTACTGTTTTTATATAGATCTCACTCCAAATGAAAAGGTGGAAATTTCTGTGACAGATTTTGTAAAGCCTGTCCCTGGATTTGGGAATCGTGATTATGATTACTCACTATGGTTAGCATGGTTTGTAATTATATTCTGGACACTAGTTTATGTTAGGACTATGCATTTCTGGAGAAAATTTGTTGAAGACATAAAGAATATATGGCGTGAAGCTGAAGCACAGCATGAACATGCAGATTAAATTAATGTAAATATTTTCTATAAAATGTTATTGTTTTATTATTTTTAAATTTCTCTTTCTGTATTTATGTTTTATAGCAATAATAATATTTATGTAAATAATTTTAAGTTATTTGAAATTAAATGATACTTTTCTTCATATCAGTTCTCAAGTATTATTCATCTAGTTTGGGAACCATTTGTTCAGGGTATTTATAGTATCTTCAAAAATAGATAATAGTTATATAATGCCGTGCAGGGGATATATTTGTAACACATTTCTTATGTAACACTAAATCAGTATTAAGTATTAACATCAAACATGGCGAAGTGTAATGAAATAATTTCTAAACATTTAGAAACTAATAGTCACTGTGCATTTTGTGGCATTAGTGCAAGTAGTAAATGTGCAGCATGCACATTGGTTGTGTATTGTTCAAAGGAACATCAAAAAGCTCATTGGAAACAACATAAAAATGAATGTGTATCTTATGAGGTAATTTAAAACTATTAGTATTTAGACCCAAAGTATATTTGTTATTTATTTTTTTAGTTACAAATAGATTCAATTGTAGGTAGACATCTGATAGCTAAACGTACTATTAATCCATCCGACATTATAATTCAAGAAGAACCATTAGTTATAGGTCCTAAGTTTCCAACATCAGAACCAATATGCATTAAATGTTTACAACGTTTGAAAAGATCAGAGTCTATAGTGGAATCTTTGTGTGAAAAGTGTTTATGGCCTATTTGTGGTGCAGGATGTGTAGTAACATCAATCAATCAAAATACCCATGAAGGTGAATGTAAAGTATTAATGAAAGGATCTGAAAAAATTGCCCAAAATAATGATTATATGTATGATGCTTTAACTCCTTTAAAATGTCTACTATTGCAATTCACGGATAAAAACAAATGGAATCGCCTAATGGAATTAAAGAGTCACATAGAATACAGAGGCCCAGGATCAGAAGTATACGAGTAAGTAATGTACAAAATACCAGGTATTAAAAATTTTAATTTTCATAACATAATAGTACAGCAATTAATATTATTTTAGGGAGATTAATTCAGTGTATAATTATTTAAGAAATAATTATTTGAGTGGAGAATTTGAAACTCCATCAGACCTTATACACAAAATATGTGGTATTTTAGATGTAAATGCTTTAGACGTTCAAGTAGCCGGATTAGAGTTAACTGCTATATATCCCACAGTAAGCAAGCTAGAGCACAACTGTTTACCAAATACTGGCATATCATTTGATGCATGTGGACGTATTTATGTTTATGCGTTTCGTAAAATTGTTAAGTAAGAACATTTAAATTTAAATTATAACAACTAAAATAGTGAAATATTTATAAATATGAATTAACGATAGGGGTGAACATATAACTTCCATGTACACTAATGCATTATGGGGAACCCGAGAAAGGAGAGCTCATCTTTTTTCTACAAAATATTTTAAATGCAAATGTAAAAGATGTTCCGATGCTACAGAACTGGGCACTCATTTTAGTACTATTGTGTGTAATGTAAGTTCTATATCTTAACTCTACTTACTTATCATTATACTTTATAAATATATATGATCTATACATATTATATTACTAAGAGTTAATGCAATGTTTAAAAAATTTGGATATTTTATAGGTAAAAGATTTTTGTAAAGGAAATTTAACTCCTATACATCCTTTAGATGATTCCAGTGAATGGGAATGTGACAGGTGTCCGACAACTGTTTCATCAGATAAAATTGATACAATTTTAACAGAGTTAAATTACATTGTTGATAAAGCTCTCCGAGTATATAATATTGAGTTAATTGTTACCTAGTGAGAACAACAATTATATTCTTATTTATTTTAGAATCCAAGTATAAATTCACTAGAAGATGCTATTTCAAAGCTGAAAACCCGTGTTCATTCAAATCATTATTTATGTTTTAATTTAAAACATACATTAATACAGCTGTATGGCCATTCAATGGGTTACAAACATTCAATGTTAACTGACGATTTATTGAAAAGAAAATCTGGTATGAACACTAGAAAAAATATAATTAAATAATATTTTAAAAGGTAAAAATTGTATTAATATTATTTTGTAGAACTATGCAGAGAAATGTTTTTCGTACTAAACATCATTGATCCATTATATACACGGTTGAACATTTATACTTCAGTGATATTATTTGAACTTCATTTGGCCTTGTTGGAATCAGCTACAAGAATATCAGAAAATAAAGCTGAAAGTAAAGGAATGTATGACGAAGCTAAAGTATTATTATCTAAAGCATTAGATATACTTAAAAATGAACCAGAAGGATCTCCAGGTTTTAAGTTACTACAAGCTTACAAGCCTAGTATCATTACTCTTAAGTAGTATACAGTTCAAAATAAATTATACTAATCATCTTTCATATATAGAGAACTATACAAAAATTGTATCAACAGGAGCCTGTCATAAGCGATCAACAGTAATTTTATTTTTATGTGATAATGAGGAATTAGTACTAATATTAGTGAATCAAATTATTAAACTGCAAAGTAACTATAACTGTAGTCGAAGTTAGAAATCCTATAACTTACCTAACCACTGCTGGTTATAATTGTAGTTGAGACTTGAATATTATTAGTTTTTAATTATTATATACTTGATATTATTACCCACATGTGGTATACATATCATATGATAATTTTTTGCTAGATACGGAATTGATTTTTAACCAATTGTGGCGTTAATAAAAATATTTTAACAGTAGTAATTGTATGTTTTCAATTTTGTTTAATATTATTCCCCCAATTATGTACCTAAACTACGTACCAATATATACAATAAGTATAGCCATATGCTCGTATAGGTAATATAATATATACCTGCTAAACTTCTAACCTAAACTACAAACCAAAAGTTATAAGAATTTTAAATAAGTGAAGTATACCATCACTTACTAGGTATATGCATTATGCAGTATGGTTATTATTTTTAGGTTATGCATACCTGATAAGGGCTGTGCTAAGGAATTTTCAATGAGGGCTCCCTGGTTGTTGAATAATTTTTTATAGACAATTTTCTACTAATGAGGTTTCAGAATTAATATAAGTAGGTACTATGAATACACAATAAATGCCATACCCCGTGAACACCCATGTACCTAAACCTAATATTTACTTCTCTAGATTATAAAAAAAGAAGCCGAGCTTAAAATATATTGTTGTGAATCTTTTTATAACATTAAACCATCAATGCATCTAAGACTTTTCTGTGTCTGCAGGCAAGTCTGTAGTTAAGTTTTGCAACTAGTCAACTAGTTGATACCTATAGCTTCTCAAAAATATATAATTGTATACCTTTAAAAACCACGAATCAAATAACTACAACCCAAGGTACAATTGCTAATAAATGTACCTAATATATGTACTATAAATTGTAAAAGTTAACATTTCAACAGTATTGTTTTTACCTTTATTTGAAGCTAGTGTTAAGTATAAACTTATACATTTTAATAAAACTAAGCATATTGTGGTGTATGATTTCACTGTTGTGACTTGTAAGTTTATGTTAGTATATATAATATGTTAGTAAAAGTTCAATATATCTAACTGTGCCTCAGCTGATTTTAACAGCCACTCGTTTCAAGTATTGAATGCAGTATCCACAGATTAAAGCATTTCTGGTACCTACTTATTAAAATTTGTAAAATTTGTTTGTAATCTGTTTCATTTTGGAAATCTATAATATTAATGGATATAAAACAACTGGAATAGTATTGGATTAAATTTTCCACTTAAATACATGCTTTGAATCCCCGCTAAATCTATAACAATTTATCCCCATCTTAAATTCCCAACACCTCTCTAGTGACTAGCCCCGAAAAATATATGCATCACTCCACCTTTCCAAACCACTTGAATGTTCCTGACCAATAAGATTCCTCTGTTCCAAATGGAAAATTCTTAAAATTTGTAGCAAATAATCTGATATATCAATACTGAATACACTATACACGACTAATGTAGTCGTGAAGTCATTAATAAATTCCTCCGATATAACCACCCAGTCTACTACTTCACTCCAAAACTTATTTGGATCCTCTTTACTTTCTCATCTAGTCATTCTCAAGATTTGTATGACCTCTCATCATTAATACATTTAATATTCATTCGAAACATTGGTACTCTAGGTACTATTTACTACTCTCATTTTTACCTATATTTTATAGTTTTTTCGCTTTGATAAGGTCTTTAAATCTACGATTCAATTCTCAGCCGATCCTTTCCTCTAATTATTATTTTGTTATTTTGTCCCCTCTCAATTTATTTCATCAAGCTGGATTCAAAATTTAAAATTGTACAGTTTCTACTCCCTAATTTAATATTTATATTAATTTGTAGTTGGCCCAAACAATAGTAACATGACATATTATTTTGACGTTTTGTTAGTGGGGGACTGGGGGAGTCCAGTGGACAAACCATTTCCCATCTGCTTAAATTTGTTAGATACTGTAGGAACCTATGTATAACTACTTTAGTCTTTAGTTATTGTGCCGTGTTATTATATGTAATGTCAATCAATAACATTTACCTAACTATTTAATGGTCCGGTCTTTTAGACATGATTTAGTGACCTATAATTAAATCACTCAATTTTAGTGAATCATTAAATTAATCAATTTTTTATGCAACCCGGCATAGATCTATCTTATATTTATTTGAAATTGGATATTTGAATCTTAAAACAAATTACCAACCAGTAGTGTAGGTAGTTAGACTTATAGTTGTAGAGGTATATATCTACTCGAGTAGGTAGGTACCTATTAACTACTGCCAACTGTCTGTGTCTATACCTACCTATTTATTAGACAAAAATAAAGTTGAGAATTATACTACAGCGAAACCTCCAAATACCAGACACTGTCTATGAAATTTTTACCGTTATTCAGGTGTTTCAGTTTGTGGTTGGCTCCTAACTCCTAAGAAAACGTCATCTATTTGGAGGTATCTGCCATTTATAGGTGTTCGCTAGAGGAGGTTTCACAGGTGCGGCTCCAGCCTCCAGCGACATGGTTGTGAGGGGATGAGCTAGTAATAATATTGCCAAACTATATACTATAATATGTTATTTTTGGAATTTCGTTTTATCAATACACAATTTTTAGAAATACGGGCCCTTGACGAGGAGGGGGGCTAACCCTGACTCCTAAGGTTATGCTGTATTATATACTTATACAAATAATTTGGTAAGTAGGTACCATATGGGTAATCAGGCAGTGTACAAGTAAAATGTTGCGTTGCTACACGATTTTATTTTTTTATATTAATGTTATAAGAAGCTTATGAGTTATAACTTTATAAGCATCGGAAACTATGGCCATTAACATTTTATAGGGGGGGGGGGGTTACTGTTGATTGAGGAACACGTGTATGAGGTGCGAGTTTTTGTCACTACAAACCCGGGTGGTCCCCCATCCGGAAATTAGCAACGCCGGCTGATGCTTGACCTCAGAACATGTTAGTGACTGAGGCCAACTGCCGAGCCACACCAGGCCCTTGTTATACCATTACACTATTACAGTAATACTATATAACATCTTTATCTAACAATTAACAATATTACATTTATAAGTTATTATACACCATGAGTCATAAATATAGGAATATATATTTTGTAGGAAGGTAACATAAATTAATATGTAGTTACCTACCTAAATTATAAACCAATATTATTAAGTAGGTATTATTTAATCTTATATTACATAATACTTATAAATAATATATGACATATTTACATATTTACATTAAAATATTATTTTATACGAATTCATGGTTTTTAGTTTTTTACCACCGTAGTACTCTCCACGATTGGCACTAATCGCGATTAAGCTATCTTTATCCGTGCTATTGTCATTAGATTTTGTAGAATAGTACTATAGTATAATTAAGAATTTAGAATATCTATTAGGCATTAGCACAGAACAATACTATTACCTATATACTATTGCTGGTAAAATTTTTTTTTGTTAAAAGTAGTTTTTTTATCATGGAAAGATCGCATAAGTCCATGGAACATGAAACTAATCGATACTACTATCGACTCTTAGCCATAGCGCTTGCGCCTTGTTGCATTGGTAATTTTTTTTTATTTTCATACCGTCCATCGTCTGTGTCCTGTGTGCCGTTTGTGTGTATATGTGTACGTGCGTAAGAGTGTGTTTTGTTTACAATATACATTTTTTTTTATTATTATTAAATGCATACAAGATCAGTGATCACCCACTCAGTCGAGTTCATAGTGTTCATATCTACCTTGTATTTTTGAAGTTTCGAAATTAATTTCTCGTTTCGCAGTTTGCAGTACGTTTGAAATCCCCCGAGCCCTGTAAAATGCGGCTGATGCCCATTTCATACATGACGTCGTTGTTCCCCGTGCGTTGAAATAAAAAACGGTTGGAATTGATCAGATGTATCCAGTAGTTGATTACGCCTACGACGCTTAACATGCAGGTATATCGATAATTATTGCGAAACAAAATACTGTAATGGAAACTATTTTCTCAAATATCTATAAATTGCCATGAAATATATCAATACTATTGAAGGATGTCCCTTAAACATTGACTATCAGGCGGTCAAGTGCCTGGTTTTGTACTGTTCCAGAACATTTTCATTACCAAACAAATTAATTGTAATCGGTCATCTATAGTGATGGGTGCTATTGGGTTTTTACAAAAATTTTCATAACAATTTTACATCTCGATGGGACCGATAGAAACGGTATTTTTCAATATTTTTTTTATAATGCTTGAATTTTTTATTACCTATACTAGATTGCATTTATGTATTAAGTATATCTAGTTTAAAAATTTCAATAATGTAATATATTTGTATATTATTCATTTATATTATGTATTTGTATTTAGATATTAATTATTAATTTTACCTATTATACTGTTTTTAATGTAGGTGTCTTAATGTTTTATTTATTTATTGGAAATATAATTGATTAGTAGGATGATATATAGGTACTGAGGCAACACCTAAACATAATTTTTATCAGAATAATCTATTACAATAATGTAAGGATAACTTATATTATTTACACTTAAATAAAATTAAAGATTTATTTAAAGTACATTATACATTTATGCTTATAATGTGACTATACTCAGTTCAGCTAGAGAATATGCAGTGCATCGACCGTACTTGGTTCCCCGTGCAATACCCTGCCATAAGGGAACCATTTTTGAATTGGCATGTTCTCTCGCTGAACAGAGTATACTTAGTGTCTTAGCACTCTAGTCTCCAATTAAATTCAATAAATACAAATATTTTAAAGCATAATAAATTTCCTGTGTTTAATAGTATACACTTATTAATACAAAATATTGTGCAAGTTTTCAGTAAAGTCTAGTCTTAAACTATTATCATCAATATAAGACATTTACAATGTCAGATCAGGTTCGACATTTATATGTTCCTATTATTTTATATTAGGTACCTTTATCATACATACCTAAATATGTATATTTTTAATTTTAATATACTTTTGTTTTAGAGCACTGCGAAAGGTCCTAGATCTTACATGAAGTCATATGGCCGTGCGAAGTACTCTAATAATCCGAATAGTGTTGTACAAACAGCCATAAATTTTGATAAGCTACTGTGTGAAAACACTAATAGGCCTACGGCGGCCAAATCTTCAGGTACTGTTGGCAAATGGGGTGTAACTTCATTTACTTCAATTAGAAGTACTAATTTTGTCACA